TATGAAATAATGGTAAAATAATGTGAAATAATTTAATATACTATTTTATACATTTTAATTACCCGGAAAGCCAGAAACGATCTGCTGGTACTGGCACATCTATATACAGTATACTACTAATAAGAATAAGAATTATCATCAACATCATCACCATGTTGTGGTGTATATGTGACCCTGTGTCAGTAGTCTACAGTATAGTGCTCTATTAAAAATACATTTTTGCGTCTGTTAATCTCTTTCTTTGGAAAACGTACAAGCCAATGCTTCACGATTCCACACGAACATACATATAAATACAACATACAGGAAGTGAAAGATTTTATTTTAAGAAGTTAAGGAACCTCTCTGGAATAGATTACCCCGTGCAACTCAACATATCATTTGATCATTTTAAAGAAAACATTAGCGTAATTACAGAACAATTATTTAGATTTGACGCTATTACATTAATAATTCGATTCCATTAATTAAAACAAAAATATCGTCCACATCAGACTTGTGTTTCTTTAGAAATCCGTTACTGCTACAATTGCTACCGTCCCCATTACTAACACCAACCCTGCGACTACAATGCGTTTTCATCTCAGACTTCGGCTCTCAAATCATATATGTTTGGGATGATTGCAACTGTCATGGAAATACTCTAAAACACCATCGTTTTATTTTTAAATCAACTTTAGTCGATGTTCATTTATAGCCGTCTACCTAGCATTCTGCAGTCTACTGAAACCCCGAAGCTGAACTTTAAAAAAAATAATGTCTTGTTCCGCCTATTTTAAAAACTCTACAGTCCACGCACAGGAAAACAAAATATTTTATTTTGATTTCATGTTTTGGAAGAATGTTCTGCATATAGATACTCTGTGCTCATACAGATTAACCTTTTAAGGCATCAAAGTATTAACGAGCCTTCGTTTCAAAAGTTTCAATCGAGTAATATTTGATTATGGGGTTGATGGTTGTGAAACTGAACCGATTGAGCTCTGGAAGGCCCAGGTAAGGAGACGCGTATTCAGAAGAGCAACACCTAAACGAGGCGTGTGTCGTAAAGCCTGCTCTCTCCCGTCAACAGAGTGGCCATCCCGGGTAACCTAATTCAGACAACAGACACGCACGTTGTCAAACGGATCCGATCGATCCTGGCAGTACGAGCTCTTAAAAACTACCTGGTTTTATCTTGACAGCAACACGCACACCACGCGGTGTCCCGGCTTTGTCTGCTTTTGACTATGAAACGGTGCATACTGAATGTTCTTGTGTTTTTTGTCGTTGGTGTGAAAGGTTTTGGGAAAAAGCGGGGGTCTTTCTATAATACCCTAACGTTATCGTAAATAATAAATATCCCTTTAACACAACCGTGAAGAGTAGACAATCCTTCTGCAGCCCTGGAAATGTCACGACGCGGTTTAAATGTTGGGTTACTGTAACTGAACTACACAGCTGTTCACGCATGTACACCCCCAAAGATCACATCGACTGTATCCCTCGCCTCGTTTCCCTGTTTATTCGTTTAAAATGAAGGATATCGCACATCCTTTCCGTCCACTTTTGAATGAAACTAGAAAACAAGGACCCGGAGAAGTCACCTTCTAGGGCATCAGATCGAAAATACTTCCATATATAATCTAAAATAAAATATTGCAAGTATCATACTATGCTTGGTGATGGTAGTCAGAAGAGGGCGCTACGTACCCGCAAAGTAGTTTTCCGTTTAACAGGTGGATTGACATTACTCTGAAGTGGGAGTTCTCAACGTGTACCTGTACAAATTCACGAAAAAATAACCTGCTTGTCTTGTTTTAATTCAACAGCGTATCTGTTAGAAAAAACAACTTCGCCTTAAAGTGGTAGTTGTGATGTTTAAAACTCGGCACATATCTCATAGTGCGATACTGGCGAGCAGAACAAGCTGCTTCGTTTGATCTTTCATGATTTAAATGTTTAGAACCCGCCGGCCTTTGGCCTTCAATTTGTTTTATTTGACCATCATTTCTACAGGTCTACTGAAAATCCACGCAAATATATTGTTCTATCTCGAAACTGTTTTTTAAAAAATATTACAGTATTTAGTATTTTCGTGCGCCTAATTTACAATAACGTGACCATTATTTTTTTTTAGGAAAAAGTAGGCCTGTTACTGTATCATAAAATCTTACTTCTGCATTTTAATCGAAATACGCAATAAACGAATGTGTTCGCGTCTTAATCGAAAACGCGTTGATATTATACAACTTGTTATTAATAGGAATGCACATTATCTAAAATTATACCGAAATGTAAAATATAAGACATTTATATTAGTGTTAAAATGAATAGCTCCTATTATGTATTAGTTACAACATCAAAAATGATGATAGTTGAAGTAGGAATTTGGTATGCGAATTTATGAGCAACGCAGTTTTTATTTTTATTTTTATAAAGCTGTTTTCAATGCTAGCTGCTAGTACGGACAGCGGTCACCGCCGAAAACTGAAGCTTTTCTGCTTTTCTGCCCTTGAAAAGCTCATCAATCATTGACGAATCCCCCTAAGGATTCCCGGTTAAACTGCTCGGACATACAGTACAGTATATGGCAATTATGTCATACGCGAAAGATGAAACAACAGGCCTGTTTAGAGTTATTGACTTAAAACTCTCGAATAACGACAACAGAAAAACACGAATCTCTGAGATGTTCTGTATTTTCTTGGTATTTTGTATTTGTTGTTCTTCTGACATTTTTTATGTCAGTTAAAAACCACAGAAAATAGTATAAAAACGAAATATTGCATTTTCATTTTTCCGTCGTTGTTATTTTTAACACTCGACAACTTACATTACATTAAAAAAAATATATCTACAGTATGTACTGCTTACTACAATCACTTAATACGGCCAGGCGCACAGAGTCTATTGTTATCATTTTTATAGCTGTGAAGAAAAGTCGAGAACTGTGGCGTTGTTGCGTTTATTTAAAGATTGACAAGTGACTGTTAAAGCACGTCTTATATCGTTAGATATAGATTTGTTGCTGATTATTTTATTTTCGCCGACACTTATATTAGTATATGAAACGATTAGGACCACTATACGAAAATAATAATAATAATAATAATAATAATAATAAAACTGAGGAAAACAGTATACACGTCTTGGTACACTAAGACGAAATGGCAAATCTATATGGTTAAGAATCGCTTTCTCTTTATGTAAACACCCCGAGGCAAAGAAAAAGTTCATGCCCGGGTCTTTGAAAGTAGACACCATCAACTCTGGTTCATCTGCACACTTAATAGGGCCATACTTTGGAGGATTAAAGAAAAACTACAAATTTTGCTACAGGAGAAAATTCCCATCGACTGATAAAAGCATTAAAAAAAACAACAAAACGGTGGTATCTAAAAAGCAAACGATTTTTAACTTCATTCAGTTCTAATAAAGTCATATTACAATTTGTTCTTTTGTATAGATCGTACCACAAAGTCGAGCGTGTCTTGTCACGTCAGTGACTTCAAGAAGTATTAATAGATTTTAATTCGGCTTTGCATTCTGTGCTCTCAAACACAATGGGATTGACACTGTTCTGTTAAAAATAATATGGACAACCGCTGACATTACTTTTTGACATATAAAAAGAATTGCATTTTGACCAAAAAACAAACAAACGATTGTATTACGCAGGTAAAAGAAAGTAAAATGTCTCCATAATAAGAATAACAATTTAATTTGCTGACTACTAAAATGAAAAATTAATCCACGCATATAATTTAGATGCACGCGGCAGATGATTTTTTTACGTTTCAGACTTGGACCTGAAATGTATGGTCTCCATTCAAAATATTCAATTTTGACCGTTCTCGATAATGATTCTGAAGGTTTAGCTGGTTAATAAACAAGTACATGGTCCATTAAACGCTGTATTTTCACATACAAGTTCAAACAGAAATAAAAAAGGATACAATCAATGTGTATTTGTCAAAATGTCTAAACTAAATTTGCCTACAAATACATTTTGGTCAAAGATACAGCATTCGAGAATTTCCTTGCGTATGTCGGGACAAAAATAAGCTTCCACGCTCTTTTTAATTGTTGAATGAATGAGTCACGACTTAGCCTGAGGAATGATTTCAGTCCGCAGGACAGTATTGTCTGCAATAGCGGGCGAAGGAACTGTGCCAGTGATGCAGGCAGCACCTCTGGACCGTTTGGTTTCTCCCAAACGAATATCTGCTTCACGCGTTTACAAACGTTCGCACCTTGCCCTTCTTGTAGCAAATGAGCTTTAATTAAGTGTAATTACATTTCTCATTCCGCCAACTGCACGGCGTCGGGGTCCTCCAGCGCGCTTTGATCTCGTCTCGGTGTTGATTGAAACTTGAAAACTGGAGGCTGATGTTAATGAACCTTACATTTCAGCGCCAAACTTCAAGCGACCAAATGCGTAGTTTGCGCCTTTAATATATTTGCAAGCACAACGAAAGGTCTGTTTCCTGTTTTAATTCTATTCTTAATCAGTTGCAAAATGTAATCGGTGTTGATATGAGAGACTATCAACCACCTTGCGTCAGATCCAGACAAAATAACATTGATTTTTTCCTTGTAAGATACGATTACGCCTCTTATGCGCTTTAAATCTGTATCAGCTCCGTGAGTGTTAAACCTGGACAATTTTCGTTATTATTCATAGACTTTAGCACAAACTACAATTCATCAAGTGAAACATGAAACAGTATAAAATTACTTTGGATATTCAATTGGGTAGACTGAACAATGAAAACTTGAAAATGTCGCGTTAAGTTAAACTTCATAATCAATTGTATAACCTAGATCTCAAAAGGTGGAAGTGGACGTTAAAATGTTTAAGTTCTCCATGTTTTACTACTACCAAACAGAGACATTTTAATAAGATGTTATTTAATTAGAGATTGCCTTGTGAAGCGGGGGTGCGTTTGCGGAGAGCAGATTCACTTTGGAGATTTGGTGCTAGCTCAAGTGGGCTGGGAGTTACCAACACCTCTTCTCGTTTTTCTGAAGAGTGTGTGTGGCCAGAAGCAGTCAGCGTCGCTACAGCTTTTCCAGAGTCAGGCCAAGCCTTCAATTGGACACCAGAGGCGTTTTGGGAGGAGCTTCGCAGGCAGCAGAAAGAAAAATGTAACTGCGTAAAAAAGTCCTCTCTAGTGACGGATGCTCAAAGTTCAGAAGTTTTCCAATGTTCTCTTCAGCAGACAGCGGCGGCAACAGCTGAAATCGCCCTCAAGATCTGAGACTATACGCTTTCCCGATTTCCTCGCTGACAAAACAGGAGCTTGGCTTTGAATACAAAACAAAATCGACCGAAAACTGGAAGTGTACAAGCTACTGACGCTGGGAAGTTTGTTGATCTGAGTTGCAGCGTGGGACTACTGGGGAGAGAAGAAATGCAGGCGCGCTATTCTGTATCGAGCCCGAACTCGCTAGGCGTTGTGCCCTACATTAGCAGCGACCAGAGTTATTACAGAGCTGCCGGTGGGGGATACACAGGGATGCCAGCCCCTATGAGCATGTACTCCCATCCGGCTCACGACCAGTACCCTGCTAGCATGGCTCGGGCGTATGGACCTTACACGCCGCAACCTCAACCCAAGGATATGGTAAAGCCGCCGTACAGTTACATCGCCCTCATCACTATGGCTATCCAGAACTCTCCGGACAAGAAGGTGACCCTGAACGGGATCTATCAGTTCATAATGGAAAGGTTTCCGTTTTACAGAGACAATAAACAAGGCTGGCAAAACAGTATTAGGCACAACCTGTCCCTCAATGAGTGCTTTGTCAAAGTTCCCCGTGACGACAAAAAGCCCGGTAAGGGCAGCTACTGGACTCTGGACCCCGACTCCTACAACATGTTCGAGAACGGCAGCTTCCTGAGGCGAAGGAGGCGCTTCAAAAAGAAGGACGCCTTGAAGGACAAGGAGGAGAGGGACCGGCAGATTAAGGAGCCGACGTCCAAGCAACAGGGACGGGAGCAGGAGCCGTCCGTGCCGGGCTCCCAGCCTGTGAGAATCCAAGATATAAAAACCGAAAACGGGACGTCAACGCCTCCCCAGGCGGTGTCCCCTAGTCTCAGCACTGTGCCCAAAATCGAGAGCCCCGACAGCAGCAGCAGCATGTCCACGGGCAGTCCCCACAGCATCCCGTCAAACCGATCCATCAGCCTGGAGAGCTCCGACCATCACCACCACAGCCAGGCCCCGACCCAGGGATTCAGCGTAGACAACATCATGACATCCCTGAGGGGGTCACCCCAGGGCGCGACAGAGCTCTCCTCCAGCCTCGTCGCCTCGTCCAGGACAGGTATAACCCCGTCTTTGTCGCTAAACTATTCTCCGAGCCAGACGTCAATCTACAGTTCGCCTTGCAGCCAGAACGTCATTTCCACCACCACGAACACCGGCGCGACTTACCACTGCAACATGCAGGCTATGAGTTTGTACGCTGGGGATCGATCCGGGCACCTGGCCCCTACGACCACCGTGGACGAAACCTTACCAGATTATTCCATCACAACCACCACTTCTTCGCTGACCCATGGTAACCTAAACTCGGGTCAGGACAGCCACCACCCCCACCAAGGACGGCTCGCTTCGTGGTACTTGAACCAAGCAGGGGATCTGAGCCACCTGGCCACTGCCACCTACCCCGGGCAGCAACAGAACTTCCACTCAGTGCGAGAGATGTTTGAATCGCAGAGAATTGGTTTGAATAACTCGCCGGTGAACGGGAATAACAGTTGTCAAATGTCTTTTCCTTCCAGCCAGTCGATCTACCGCACCTCGGGGGCATTTGTGTATGACTGCAGCAAATTCTGACCAAAACCTTTTTTTTAAAAAAAAACTGTTCTTTCTTTTCTTTTTCTTTTTTTTTAATAATCCAAAGATTCTTAACACATTGGCCTCCGTAAAAAAAAAAGGACTCAAATTTATACTGAGAGGCAGAAAGCATATCTTGGTTTGTAAAGGACAGTGTTACTCCAAATAACACGTAAGTTTCTTCTCGCTTTTGAGAGCTGTTTTTTTTTTAAAGATTATGTTAAATTTATATGTCAGGCTTTCACGGACTTGTTATTAAATGTAAATTGCATATAGTAATTTATTTTTAAAATTTTTAGTTGGATGTCTGGACCAAACACCGGAAAGTGTTTCTAAATTGAACTGCCTTAACTGTTCAGAAATGTTCCATTATAAAAAGGTAACCTGTATATCGCCTTATTCTTTCGATTTTTTTGTCCTTATTTGTTGAGAGTATTCTGAAGGCATTGCATTGTTTGTTTAATAAATTGCCATTCTATTTGAGATATACCTATGCCTGATTTCTTAGAGTACCATCAGCACATGATGTTGTGTTGAGAGTGTGGAGTAGGCAAGTAATTTGGAAGAACCAAAGCAAATTTGAAGGAAAAAACACCTCAGTGTATGTCTGTATGATGACGCTTTACTAATTCTGTAAACGTCAGGCCGTTGGCAATAAGTACCTTAAATCTCCCTTTTCTCTGAAATTCAGCTATTTCTTAGCACAGAGGCAAGGCGTTTAAAACGCAAAGTTAAAATAACTAGATTCTGCTCAAAGGTCTAAGTAAATTTAGAAATCGAAGAAAGGGTTTTATCCACTATTACAGTAAATCTGCATTGTTTTTTCTTGGATTATTCGCCTCTGTGGTAAAGCATTTACAGACACTGGGGAAAATAATTTGTAGTTTAATAATGCCCAATTAATTCTTATATATATATATGTATTAGTGTTTATTAAGTTAACATTTAAACGTAAATCACTGAATTTCTTTTAAGAGGTTCTACGTAACGGTTGTGAAATGCAACAGCAGTTTAAGTAGGCCCACTTAGCACAATGCGCCGCAAAGAGCACTACAAGGCTGTGATGGAGGCATTGCTACAGCACTATTTAGAAAATTATTCGGTTCACTGATAATGAATATTAAAAATCAATGTTTTTCGTCAACTTTATAACAGGCCGCCGCTCAATTAAGCTGTTACTTTCATTTTTCATTCTGTCTGAAAATGGAGGCTTCACTTAAAGTAACCTCAGCAAGTTAAAAGAGAGCAGCTTAAAAAACATAATTTCAGTCAGCAAAACACCGGTTTCCACCTTTTTTATATAAGTCTGTTTTAGAAAGTATACACATCTTCATGAAACGTTAAAAAAAACATCCAGTGTGCGTAATGATCAAGTCGATGAATATCTTGCCCGCTAAAAAAAAAGCTATTGAAAAATGATGTCTGCATTTTAGAATTCTCAGCAGAGGATCGAATAATTCGCCTTCGGATACTTAATAAAAGTTTTTAGAAATAACTATCGTTTTCGGTAAATTGTATTATTATTATTATTATTATTATTATTATTATTATTATTATTATTAGTAGTAGTAGTAGTATTATAGCATTACCAAAAACGCAACAACATAATAGTATCTGAGATTTTTTTGTTATTTAAGCGTTCTCCTTTTCCTCCTTATTATTTTATTATTAAAGCTATGTATGAAACTACATTAAGTTACATTAAGTTTAGCAAGGCCTCTTGCCCAAATGCTCTTAAGACCACATCGGTCGTATAGTTCATATTATACATTTATATAGAACTTCTCGATTTTTTTATGATTACTGTTGTGTAGCCGTGGTGGAAATATGTACTGTAGTCCTCAATACAGTCTCCGTGGCCGAAACCTAAGAGATGATAAACCATTTGTATTTCATGAGTTGTTTGCAAGCAATTAAACTCTTAGACGTCTCCGTTCACCCTCTGAGCTACTGCCAGTGACTAAAGAAACATATGTGGGGCAAGTTCCAGTTTTATACTGTGTATTTATTGATCGCTGTGTGTTACCCTGTACAAGTAGCAGAAATGGATAACATGAAGAAGGACAGGAATTGTAATTATCTTAAAACTAACAAACCAGGACAAAACTATCGTATAACCTCATGCAACACGGGTTGTTGTTTTTGATGAGCCCAGACACGGTGAATTGAGTCATCAGAGGAAAAGCATCGAATTGTACGACCTAACAAATGTTGTTTTTTTGCAAGCCATCTACTGCATGATATCATCTATAAGCATTTAGCATTTAAAGCGTAGGTCTGTAGGCTAAATGTTAGACAAATTCGACTTAAAGGGTTTCTTTTATGCAGTTGGTAACCAAAAACGTCGTCTAGCTCTTAAATTAATACCTTTCCTTTGGGGAAAATAAGTAATTCGCAGTGGCTAGGTCTGGTTCGGGAGCTATATTTCCAAAATAAAAGTTGGTGTTTACAATTTTCAATTTGATACAAAAAAATAAGTTAGTGATTGAATTTTTTAATCCTGTTTCAGTAAATACGATAAAAAAGGTACTTGATAAAATCAAAGCAGCAAAGCAAATAAAAAAAGCTTTGATATAAACAGCATTTTCGCTGCTTATTTATTCTGTTCTTTGTTACTTGTACAGTAGGTCCCTCAACGATAATTTGAGTAATTTTGCTGTGCTATGTGCGTTTGAAATACGTTTAGCTTTTTTTTTTTACCATTGAAAGTACCCTGTATATCCCTGTCAGGGCCTGAATGCACATAATAATAATAATAATAATAATAATAATAATAATAATAACTTTCCAGTAATTTGTTTAATATTTTATTTATTGCGTTATATGCTCTTTTAAATAGATTTTTAAATAGCTTGAAAATAAGAACCAGCGGTGATTAATTTGTCTAATTATGCTCTTATGCGTGGAAAAAAATAGATCCTTATCTGAATGGATGTAAGGATATAAAAGTTAAGAAATGTTTTTAGTTTATATAGTAAAACGCATTTCCGAAATAATTTATTTTCAACTGACATACTAGTGCAAATAGCAAAAAAACAAAACAAAACAAGCAAATGTCTTTAAGGACGGAAGTAAATTATTTATTTAGTTGTAAAAATATCTTCTATGTGCTTTTCAGTACTGAATATCACGACGTGGCCCTCGCCATCAGCTGTGGTGCTATTATGATTGGATTTACAACGTTTAAGATTTATTTATCTACTGCGTCATATTAACTATGGGATATTGCGGCGACGAAATCGTTTCAATCACGTCCACTGCTTGGCCGACATTTAAAGTACATTTTAATTGTACTTCTTGCAGAAAACACAGAAATAATCTTTCCTCGGTGTGAAATAACAACAGTATAAGTAAATTATGATACCTGTTGTTATAGTGGTTATGAGAAACGCAGGCTTGTTACTCGCTTTTGCTAATATACACTGAAGGGACCGAATTGAGCAATACCCGACTCCTTGTGCACAGCAAAGCACGCTGCGGTAAGGAAATGCATTAAAAGAAGTTTGAACGAACCGAGGATGCCTACGCATCTGTTATTTCAGAGTTATGCGCGATGTTATAGACGCTCATTCGCTCACAGCTAGCTATAATCAGGCTCATAAAAGTCATTAGATTCTTTTTTCCATGTAATAAACAAACGTCGTGTTAGTCAAAGATTGATGGCTTTCACATAGCAAGAGCGGGCCAGGTCAGGAAGGAATAAAATTCAATCAGAGTGCAGAATCATTTTTCATTAGACGGAAAAGGCAGAGTAGGAGACGGGGGTCAATAGGGAGGATGTTACCATTAACAGCACTATCGACAGCACGGCAAAAGAAGATAGAACTGACCCAGACGGTCAGATGCACTGAAGTGTTGGACAGAAGATAGTCAACAGCTAATCTGCATTAATTAATATGAACGCCTTATGCCCATATTTCTTAGTTTTAAAGAAATAATCCCAAAATAAAGTGCAGGACGGCTGATGGTGACGTTCTTTTACTGAAACTTTTTTTTTCTTTCGTCTGATTTTCTTTATGACTACTTACACTTCTAGGTCCCTAATAATGCGTCTGCCAAAACTGTAATACCAGATAGCATTTTTTAAACAAATACAGCATGTTATTAAGGGTAAGACATATTCCACAGAACACTACAATATTTTTTTTAAATAAAAGGATATAATAATCAGCTTTCACAAGAAATGAAAGCGTCGATCATTTATATTTTAAAACATCCTGCATCACACAATGTTTCGAACACCTTTTTTCAGTATTTCTTGCAATTTAGGTGTCTCGACAGACGAACAATGAAATGGTGTTAGGACCTTTGGAAAGCAATTAAAATGTATAACAAAACATTAAATACAATTTTAAATTCACAAGAGATGAAGATTATTTTACTGTATGATCTAATTTTTCTTGTTTTATGTAAAATTCTTAAATACATTTATATAAAGACAAAATGTGTATTTTCAGGAAATATATTCGGATATGCTCCGAATAAACAATTTCAGTGATCATTTTTAGCGACGTTATTTGCGTTCATTTTGTTTACTCCAGAAAATCTATATGCTCGACGACGCATAGTGGGGGTTTAGTTCTACATTGGGACCTATGTTTTCAAGGATTAAAAGGTAAATAATATTGAGTCTAACATTTAGGCTATAGATAGAAAAAGAAGACCTCTCAATAATAAATGTTGAAGCACTAATTAGTTAATTAGTTAATCGATAAGGATTTTCCAAACTGATTCTATGGGGGGGGGGGAGTCTCATTAATTGGCACAGCCTAATCTTGAAATAACTTTAAAGAAACAAGAGCAGAAAAACAGTCTGAAGCCTGGGTTTAATATTTATACAACAGCACACCGCTTCCGTTTGTCTATAAGAGCAGGAGAAAGTTTCAATGGATTGTCGATGGGTTTATACGAACGTTGTAAATAATGCATTCAATTACTGGGTTAAAGTGCATACAAACTTTTTTCTGGTACTACTAACCTTCATAACCTATGTCGTCGAATAAACATGTTGTGATATGTAAGTGTTTAGTGATATTCCAGAGGAGGTCCAGCTACATTGTGTCAAAAAGAACTATAATGTAATAGGCCTATTTAAACTGTTATGCTCATATCTGTATAAGGTTATTAACATATTATATATATATAGCCAGTAACCATTAATGCCTTCACATCTGAAATACAGGCCTTTGTATTTGCTGACAATTTGAGAAGGTACCAAGTTATGTCACATTTTTAAAACAAATTTCAAAGGTGAGCCTTTAAGTTTCACTGTTAGATTGCTTTCACTGAGAGGTATATTATCATAAGGAGTCTATCTCTGCGCCTGTCTGCGCCTATATAAAACACAATTTATCTTACGTAGTCCTAGACTATTTGATCTGCCACTCTGCAAAGGAAAGCTCTTTTTTTAGTTTCAATTATCACTATAGCTTTGTCTTTTTAGGATGGCCGACATCTATGCGAATATGATGTTCTGATCGATA